GAAGAACACAGAGCTGGTGTTAGAAATCAATCAATCAATACATACATTAATCAATATTCATAAATATGATTCATTCATTGTTGACTGTTTGCTTTAGTGTTGTTGTTTTTTTTTATTACTTTTTTATTTTTTTTAACAAAGTAAAAAGTAAGTAAATAAATAAATACATGAATAAATAAATCAATACATTAAAAAAGTAAATAAATAAATAAATACATACATAAAAAAGCAAAAAGTAAGTAAATAAATACATTAATAAATATTTTTTTCTTAACTGCTTTTAATGATTAATTCATTGTTGAGTGTTTTTATTACTTTTTTCTTTTCCTTTGAAAAGCGCTCTATAAAAACAATTTATTATTATTATTATTATTATAAAAAAGTAAAATGTAAGTAGGTAAATAAATCAATCAATACATTAATAAATAAAGGAAAAATAAATACATTAAAAAAGTAAGTAAGTAAATAAATAAATAAATAAGTAAATAAATAAATAAATGAGTAAATAAATAAGTAAGTAAGTAAATAAATAAATAAATAAATGCATACATAAATAAAGAGGAATAGAAAGTAACAATAGAGACAAATAATAAAACTTTTAATTTCAGTTGTAATATTAAGCCTGTAATATTAAATATTTACTGATACTAAATATCAAATTGAATAGATTTTAATTGAATGTTGCACATTGATTATTAAGTTCAAATTGTACATTTAAACACATTTAAACCTAATTATATCTGTAAAATACAATAACACACTTTTTAATGTTGCCATCTACAAAATAAGAATAAGTATATATCTATATTATAATAAATATATTATAATTATATAGATATATATATTATAATATATATATATATATAATTATAATATATATATATATTATAATACATATATTATAATATATATATATATATATATATATATATATATATATATATATATTATAATATATGTATTATAATTATCTATATTGTAATTGTATCTGTGAGCTTTGGGCTACATTTATTTTGAAATGTCAACTTCCGGTTACCTCGCGCTCATCTCTGGCTGTTTCGCGGGGCCTCTACATTCCTGGCACAGTGAAGGACCGCCCCCCTCCGTCCCTCCTGCGCTGCCATTGGTCGTTCTATGCTTGGGGCTCTCTGATTGGCCCGCTCGCTCTGTCAATCATCAGCGACCCGTGGGCGAGGACGAGGCTAAAGTTCACATCAGTTTATCAGCTCTGAAGGAAACTTGTTTCTCACGCAAGCAGCGGGCGCGGGAGTGTCACCGCACGTAAGGAGGGTTAGCGGGAGGGCCTGCGGGCTCAGCAGCACTCAGTCAAACGGCTCCAACGGGTCAAATAACGATATAATGATAGAAAAACGTCACTTTGTGTAGATTAATGTTTTATTTCTTCCTCCGAGGCTCACTGGCGGTAAAATAAACCCGCCAAAGATTGTTTATTAACACGTCCTGTCACTCCGCCGTAGAAACACACACCTTTTATTATTATTATTATTATTATTATTATTATTATTATTATTGACAGTTAAAAAGTATCTTTACTATTAATTTCTTTATTATTTCCACATTATGTTGATTCACCTGTTCTGTGATAATGTTTGAACTCTGATGTAGTAGAACAACCCGTAGTGATAGTTTTAAGGTTTAGTGTAAATATTAACAGAGTGAGAGCTCTTTATAAATCCACCTATCTTTAGCATCAGAGGCTAGTTCATTGTTCTCAAAGTTTATGTCGGTTTTGTCTCTTTTTACTGTGATAAATGTCATTAAATGTCATTAAACACAGAATACAACACGACCACTATCTGGTAGAAATGTAAATGTAAAGTTGTTGATTTAGATTATCGATATAAAAGCAATAAAAACGCGGATTTAACGGTAGCTGGGTTAATTAGCTACACGTAGCTCGCTGCTGTTAGCTTGTGTTAGCTCTCAGACTGAGCAGATAAAGAGAGTGAGACACATTTAAGACTTTAAATCAATAATATCTTTATTATTTATCAATAATATCTTTATTATTTCAGCCTGTAAAGTGTCATCATGTTGTAATGTCCAATGTAAGTTACCAAAGTGATTGTTTAAATATCATAAAACTGTTAATAATCGACAGTTTTATTAATTAATTAACTGATAAACTCATTTTAATCTGTTAATTATCTTAATAAATTCTATATAATCGTTATATTATCTGTTTTATCTGAATACGTTTGAAAATTAATTCAATTTATAGAAAAATACATAAAATAAATACATTTATGGATTAATTGATTCACTTTAATCACCAATCCTTAAATTTCAATGAGTTTGTAACAGCTAATATTATTGATACTTGATCAATAACCTGTTATTATTGTTATAATAACAAACTACAACAACAGACTCAACCACATAAATGATGATGAATTGTTCATTTAATCCTGAAATTGATACGTTTTGATCAGTAATTGGTTTTTATTAATAAACTATTTACAGCTTCATAAAGTGTGTG